ATATTTATAGTGTATATTTATATATATATATATATATATATATATATATATATATATATACATATACAAGCATATATATATATATATATATGCACTTGTATTGTATTACATGTGTTTGTATGTTATGTATATATGTAGTGATACTTACCTATCAGTTAAATATGTCTTTGTACCATTGACGTGGTACCTACTTTTAAAACTTGCAAGAAGCTTACAAACACGGACAGTACAGTGTTTCGATTGCGGTCAGGTTATGCGTATGCGTGCAGCCGAGTGTGCTTGTTTGTCATAACATACACTAAAAAGCGTATACTAATCTCGGAATAGCAGAACGGACAGACGCTCAAAATCTAGAGGTACGATTTCTCGCAGCAATACAATAGAGACACTCCTTTATGCTCACTCTGTGCAGTATATGCATCTCACGCGCACCCAGCGGTAAGGCACCGCATCAACATCACAGCCGAAGACACTGCGAAAGTGTTTCAAGTGCTATCACACACACAAATGATCACCTTGCCGCTCGACGACATCTACAGAAGAGTCCAGTATAGCCATACGCCGCGCCGATAATCTCACACTTCATATCCGTCGCTTTGTTTGCACGTATTGGCAGGCTACCACATCACCAACACAGCCGAAGAGGCGGCTCTGTGGGTGCTCAACTCGTGTACCGTTAAGAACCCGTCGGAACAAAGCTTGCAGGGGGCTATTCAGAAAGCCAAGGATTCCGACAGGAGGGTCGTCATAGCTGGGTATGATGGCTGCACTGTCATGGGTATTGGTTGATTGTTTGGTCTATATGCGCGGAGTACGTATCAGCGTGTACGAGTGTGTGTTTGATGTGTGATTGGGCTCGTTGCTTCTGACCTTAGCCAAGGTAGTGTGTCATGGCGAGGGGAGGTTACTATGAACCGCAGCGTGTGTTATGCTAGCCTCATTTGCGGTGTAGATGTATTCGGATATGCGATTTCGGACTTTAAATTAGAACTGCATATTTGCAGCGCGTAGTGTTCGGCAATGGCCGGCGTGTTCAATCTACCTACCATGCCCATCTAATCGGATGCAAAACATCTTCAGACATTATAAAGTGTTGAATTTGTGTGGTGATTCACTGCTGAAGTAGTTGTGTATCAGGCCAATACGCCCCTCCGGGCAGTGTACCCTCATTGTATCCAATGATCCCCACCTTCCTTGTCCTAGTTCGGGTTGGTTTGGTAGCTTTAGACTTGTGGCGTAATGGGGTATAATATTGTCCCACCAACGCACTTCAATTCATCCGATGGTACTATAGGGTTTTGGGTTAGGGGTTTTAGGGTTTTAGGGTTTAGGGGTTTCCGATAGTCTCTCCAGAGAGAAGCTCATGCATGCACACGACTAGGCTGCAAGGTGCTTTGCGTAGTAATTAACCCCAGACACTTGTTCTGAATGACACAGTATACTATGGACACCGCTGCTAGAGTACACCGCCGCCTTCTACACTGATTAATACATCAGATACATATATAGGGATTTTTATATAATACGTTCTTATTGAAGCAGATTTCACTGTTCACCACACATATACAGTCAGTATTGCTGCTGTGAAGCCTACAATGAGCCTACAATGAGGCCAGTCAGTTGGTGCTGTATCTTGTTGTCAGTACTCGCCGATTGAGACTATATATAACTTCATCCGGACGTTTCCTACTTTTTGTTGACTCCACGCACTATGTACAACGTCATCAGTACGTTTCCCATGCATTCTCGATTCCACTCCTCGTATCAGACCTTCAATGAGTGGGTTGTCTGTCAATCCTACAGCGACGGTCCATTTGACATGTATCTGTCGTGATATCCTTCGTGTGATGTCCCATCAAAACGAATCCGAAGCCAACTACCGAACATCTGAGCCATGCATCATGCTACAACTACAGGGCATTCAATTAGTCACTTTGCTTTACTGCTGTATCCTCTACAAGAACAGGTGCGTCTCCCAAGGAGCGCCCGGGACGTACCAAGGCTACTCCATTGTGGGTGTGCAGCAGATCGATCGGATAGTCGAGGTCGTGGAGGAGACACTCAAGGGCCACTCAGTCAGGCTACTCAAGGAGAAGAAGCAGGATGGCTCAGGTGTGCACTTGTGTGGCTTTGTGACAAGTTGCCGTGGCTAAGCTTAAGATGGGTGTGTGGTAGAGTGAGTGAGTGATTGTTTAAGGGCCACTCAGTCAGGCTACTCAAGGAGAAGAAGCAGGATGGCTCAGGTGTGCACTTGTGTGGCTTTGTGATAAGGTGCCGTGTTTAAGCTTAAGATGGGTGTGTGGTAGAGTGAGTGAGTGACTTTTTAAGGGCAAGTGGATCTCGAATCTTGAATCTTCTGGTTCTCGAGAATGTGAGTTGGATCTGATGAGGTGCAATTTTCGCTCATGCTGCAATGCGGAGGAGACACAGTACAGCCCAGTGTTGTGTCATGTTGCACTGTTTATAAAGGACTTGTCAGTGTCTTGTTCTTATATGCTATATATGCACATCTGTAACACAGTAAAGCTCGGTATTGTCTTTATTGACTGTTTATAGACGACTTGTTGTTATCTTGTCCTTATATGCCATATATGCGCATCTGTAGCGCACAGTGTACCTTGCTGCACTGTTTATAGAGGACTTGTTGGTGTTCTGTCTTTATATGCCCATACACCTTGAGCTTATGAACCATGTACTGGGTGCATGTGTAGATTTGTTGCACTTTGTTGGAACTGTTCATCCTTAGCATGTGTGTTGGTACAGAACCAGATTTCTTACGACCACACGCCGCCACCACTATAGCAAGCCTCGTGGTATATCGATATACATTCTCCTTGTCCTTCTGGGCCTTAATATATTTCTTTGGCATGTTTGCCGTGTATCATTTCCATACTCGCCAGTACATCCTCTAGAGACACACATGGTTATACCCCTGCCAATCAATGCCAGCTTCTATCGATGTGGGTCCCATTTGGCTCAGCAACGGACCACTTCTCTCTCCCACAGTTGGACGATGGCTCAGTAAGAATGGCATACCTACAGTACATTAATAGTGTTCTATTCCGGTTGGATGTCCTGTAGACGTTGCATACGAACGCCTAGACCTAAATCCGTTCCAATCACATATAGCAGAGACTTCTTAAATCAACAACTCACATGCTTCCTCTCACACAGATGGAGGTAAGAAGACACGAGCCGGGGGAGCCGCCCTATCTTTGCCTAAGATCCGCAAGAATCCATTGATCGAGATTGTGCCTATCAGCACTGGGTGTCTGAATCAGTGCACTTACTGCAAGACCAAGCACGCACGCGGGGAGTTGGGGTCGTATCCGCTGGAGGAAATTGTGAACCGCGTGGAAGAGGTCTTGGCCGAGGGTGTGGTAGAGGTACGTGTACGTTATCTGCATGCTATTTTGGGGTGTTATTTAGGTATATATATATACATATGTACATTCACCTACGCGCACACAAATACATACATACACACACTCGCACACATGTATGTACATATGCACTCCCACTCACACACC